TGCTGCTACAATGCACGGCTTATCCGATACCAGCAGTGCTCTGGGACAGTGTGAGATTCAGGATCAGGGCCAGGGCCAGCATCCCTTGATGTGGGGCATCTATCAGGGCCCAGGGCTTCTGTCAGGGCCCCACTGTCACACCCCCAACTTGAGCACCTCCTCTCCTGCCCGCATGCCCGTCCCTCAGCTACTTGCTCGTAAGCACTCTACTTCCTGTTCTCCCGGGTACCTGGGCTGCCCAGCACTGCCAGTGTCTGTGGGTGGGGATGGCTACAGCAGCAGCACTCCCAGCTGAACACACCTCCCATTGAGGAAAGGGCCTGCAGGGGACTATGGGAGGGGTCAGGAGCAAGCATAGAAAGGATGCCCAGGAAGGTGAGGGGTACGTGGGTGGGGGCAGGAAGAAAGGTGTAAGCAAGGGAGGAGGAGAGCCCTGATTACTTTCTGTCCAGGGCCCATCAGAGTCTGGAACCAGCCCGTGCCCAGGACACTGACAACACCCAGCTCCAAAGTCACAGGTCGTCTCTCCCAAGGGATTTCGTGCAGAGATGGAAATGGCACGGGCAACAGAGACAAATTCCAAGGAACCCCACCGGTCACGTTTCCGCGCCAATGACAACTGGTCTCTGACAGCAGCCCTTGGCACCTGATCCACAAGGAACCCTTTCAGCCAATCTGAAACACAGCCCTTGAGATCTGTTTCTGCCTCCAAACGTCTCACCAAGTGGTCCACCTTATAAAAAAAATGCTGATAAGCCCAATTGCAAAAAGGAAGAAACCCAGCCCGTGCCCAGATCATCCATTCCAGCCACCAGCTCCAGTATCAATCAGCTTCTTGAGCCACACAGCTGTTTGGTGTATTGGTTAGGAGCATGGACTCTAATCTGGGAGAACCGGATTTGATTCCCCACTCCTCCACTTGCACCTGCTGGATGACCTGGGGCAAGCCATGGTTCTGATAAGAGCTGTCCTTGAAAAAGAGCCGTTTCTGTCAGAGCTCTCCCAGCCGCACCTACCTCACAGGGTGCCTGTTGTGGGGAGGGGAAGAGAAAGGAGTGTGTAAGCCGCTCTGAGACTCCTTCGGGTAGTGAAGGATGGGGTATAAATCCAATTTCCTCCTCCTGTTGAAAGCACACAAACCACTTTTGGACAACCCTCTGGTTCTGGTCCTTGTTGAACTGGAAGGTGGGGATCCCGACCAAGCCACAATTAGAGCAGACCCTCCCCCCACACACACACACTGTTACTGCAATTGCTCCATTAACCCCACAGCTTGATGGGCAGCCAAACATCACCTGCTGATATTTCAACCTCATGCTGCCATTCATTAAGGGGACCTAAGCCAGGTGAGGCCTTTTTTTGGGGGTGGGGGTGGCAACATCCCCCACTCACCCCATTTTATCATGGCAAGAACCCTGTGAGCAGGCGGAGCATCAAGACCATCCAGCAAACTTCAAGGCCGAGCAGATCCCACCCCAGTCGATCCATCATACAGTAATCCTACAGATTCAAGGTGGGGGTAGCCGTGTGGGTCTGAAGCAGCAGAACAAAGTCTGAGTCCAGTGGCACCTTTAAGACCCACCAAGGTTTATTCAAGGGATGAGTTTCCGTGTGTGTGTGCACATGTGCATTCACACAAATGCTTATGCCTAGAATAAACCTTGGTTGGTCTTAAAGGTGCCACTGGACTGAACCATCGTCCCTATGGATTCAAGTGGGTGATATTCCAGATCAATCACAACAGAGTTCTAAGGGTACGGTTTTTGCACAAGTGCCACAGGAAAGGATCCCCAGAAAGCTAATTGTCAGCGAGGAGGAGAGGCAGGCAAGATCCCTCTGTTTCCCCCAGCTGTTCTCCTCCCCTGCCATTAGCAGCTGTCTGATTTGGGAGGACTCAGCAGCTGAAGTTCTTCACAGCGAAAGCTGGAGCACCTGATGAAGCTGCAAAGAAAGGTGCTGTCAAAGGAAAGGGAGGGGGGGGGAAATCCATTAGGAACCCCACCTGGAAGCAAGCAGGCAATCTGGAACAGGGTGGGATCGGCTTCCCACTAAAGATACATAGAATCCACCGCAGGTCTACAGTCCGAAACATACTTAGGAGGGGGATATCATTGTATTCGGTAGGGCTTACTTCAGAGTCACTTTTCATGCACGGGGGCTGGACAGGATTTCAGGGTTAAGAGGCATTTGCCTCTCTACCTGGTTTCTAAAATGGAAATGTGTGTCAGGCTGTCTTTATTTTTTCATAAAGCGTAACTTTTAATCGGCTGGGGAATCTGTGGTGTGCCCTTTGTCTGTCCCAGATTTTTAAACGGAAACATGGCTGGCTGTCTTTTCTCAAGGGGGGGGGGAAAACCCTTTTAGGTGCTACCTCTACATGAAATCTTTATTTACCCCTTACAGACTCAAGGATATTTTCTTCAGGTGCAGAAGGCAGTATTTTGACTGGTCCTGGCTCTTTCTCCCAGTGGGCTAAACAGGCTGGCCTGTTGAAGAAAACACCCATTCCTTTGGCACTCTAAAGAGTTGTACCCATCCCAGCAGCTGCTGTGTATGGCACGGCAGTCTAGTGTTCATGCACATGAATTTATACACATGTGCTCTAGAGATGATGCATACAAATTCTTGTGCCAGGACACTAAAATGATGTGTAGTACCTGCCATATCCTACACACAGCTGCTGGGATGTACTTTGACTGGCAACACAACGCTGTCACACAATTATTTTGGCCCCCTCCTTGCTAGGTCTTCAATCAAAGGTAGAAACTGTTCCTTGGCTTTTAAACCAGCAGTGGGGACTGGCTTTTGCAGAGCAAATGAATGCAGGAGAACGACCCCCTGCGCAATTTGCCAGATGAAAAGTGCAACATGCTTTCAACACCTTAATCCTCACAGCATGGACAGCTGCTCAAGTATCTCCTTCCTTGTATGTGCTGCGGAGACCTCTCCTCTGCCTTCATTTACTCAGCAGCTCTCCCATCTTTCACACATTAAAAAGCTAAGAGTGTTCCCTGCCCCCTCCCCGGGTTGCTGCAGGGGTCTGAAGAAGTGAGCAGTGACAAGCAAAAGCTCCTCCCCTGCCACATATTTTGTTAGTCTTTAAGGTGCTCCTGGACTCTGGCTCTTCTCTACTGCTACAGACAGACTAATAGGACTACCCATCTTTAAAACCTCATGTTATCCCAGAAGACACTACTCAGAATTCATGGTCACCATTTGGCATGGCCACGGCAATGTGGGTATGTGCTCCGAAATCTGGGTTCCTCATCTTGCACACCAAAGCTGGAAAATAGATGCATGGCATTATTCTCACAAAACGGCCACCAGACGTATTGAAAGGATCGATATGTGTGACCTTCCCTTACATGTGGTTGTTGGTGGAAAGCACTGTCAAGTCACAGACAACTTATGGCAGCCCCCCTTGGGGTTTTCATGGTAAGCTCTGGCCAGCACTGGTTGGCCATTGCCTGCCTCTGCATAGAAACTCTGGACTTCCTTGGAGGTCTCCCATCCATATACTAACCACGGCCAGTCCTGCTCAGCTTCCAAGATCAGGCAAGTCCGGGCTATCCAGGTTTGCCTGTGTTTTAGCAACTGAATATGGCTAATGCTTTGAAATGGATTTGGCTCACAAGTTCAGCAGTGAACTGTCCATGGGCTGAACAATCACCTGAAGTACACGGTTGGATAGAATTTCTGCCTGGAGACTCAGCAAGACAGGTGGCCGATCAACAAAGTAAAGGAAATAGAATAAACCTGTCCACTGCTTCCACGGGAGGAGTCAACAGGTGAACCAACACCCATCGCTGTCATTGGCCAGGTCCAATGTGGCAGCCCCACATGTAGAAGGACCAGTGTGCCCCTGCAGGGGGCTAACCAACACCAATGTGTGGTGGGTGTGGATGGACGAGCCCTGGCCATTGCACACTAATGGGGACAGCTCTAATTCTGGGAAATCTCTAGGCCCCGTCTGGAGGTTGGCAGAAGTCCATCAGTGGCTATTAGCCACCAGGTATAGATGGAACACTCTGCCTGGGACAGTGATGTTCTCTTCTTGGTGCTTGAGGGGCAACAGTGGGAGGGCTTCTGGAGTCCTTGCCCCACTTGTGGACCTCCTGATGACACCTGGGCTTTGATCACTGTGTGACACAGTGTGGTAGACTGGGTAGGCCACTGGCCTGATCCAATATGGCATCCCTTATGTTCTTAAGAGGAGCTGCGGTGGCTCAAGTGGTTAAGACGCTGAACTGCAGGCTGTGGAAGGTCGGTAGTTCAGCAGTTCGAGATCCGGGTGCCGCATGACGGAGTGAGCTCCCGTCTCTAGTTCCTGCTCCTGCCAACCTAGCAGTTCGAAAGCAAGAAATTGCAAGTCGATAAATAGGTACCACTTCGGTGGGAAGGTCACAGTGTTCCGTGCGCCTTGGTGTTTAGGCATGCCGGCCACATGACCACGGAAACGTCTTCGGACAGCGCGGGCTCTTCGGCTTGGAAACGGAGATGAGCACCGCAACCCTAGAGTTGGATTCGCCTGGCTTTCGAGGAAGGGGACTTTTACCTTGACCTATGTTCTTAAGAGCAGAGGACCATGAGTGGCTATAAGCCACCAGGTACAGATGGGACACTCACTCTGGGGCAGTGATATTCTGTGTTCTTGGTGCTTGGGAGGGGAGGGGGGGCAAGAGTGGGAGGGCTTCTGGAGCCCTGGCCCCCGTGCGACCCAGAACAGGGTTGGCCTGGGGCCTGATTCCCGCATGGCTTCTCTTACGCTTGCTTAACCCTACCCAAAGCAGCGGGCCTCATCGTCCCCTCCAGCTCCAGCTACCCCCC